TTCAACAACATGTTCCAATAAATACATGTACTTAATGGCTAAACCACCACGCTTTCGTGAAGTAGGTGCACTTTACTAAATTTATGAAGGTTTTATTAAGTTTCGTTGCATTAATGTTTGGACCACCACGCGTTTCGCTAGATTAGAAATCGCAAGGGAATGTTTTCATCGAATCGAATAATTTTAACGAATTGTCGAATATCGAGTTGAATTCGAGAATTTATTCCGATTTTTAATCTAAAAATATTATCATTTCTGACGCCAGAATGCAGATATTTATGAAGAAGATAGTTGACCTTCTTGATTTTACTTTTCTATTGGGGCTGTTTTATTTTCGTATTAAATAGTTAATAAAAGCCCTGCAAAGTCATTGCCTAAATCCTGAATGCTATTTTGAGTTCAAATGATGATAAAATAGGTCAGCAATCATGGCAATTCTACTTGTCAAATAATAATTCCTTGGTAAAATTTCGCACAGTAATTCCACTTGGCCGGCTGATTCAAACTGTAAGTGTGGATGGCTTTTTTCAGAATAAGTATTAAATAAAATAGCATAACCTGCCATTTGTGAGAATATCTATATGTGGATAACAACGCCTTAAAATCCCGAGATTTTTAGAAAGTAATTGCGGGATCGGGATTGAAAAAAAAACAGTCCAATTCCCGGGATCGGGATTTCCCGGGGTCCCAACCCTAGTCATAACTGATCAGAATAATTTCACCTAACAATATTTCATCTTCAAATATGAGCCTACGTTGCATTTTGTATACCGAAGAAAAATATAAAAAATGTAGGTACTGAGCTAATACGGAACCCACGGGTGTACCAAAGGTTGAGGATGGGCTGGGGCATTGGGTATGTATGTCCCCAATAGGCAATAGCGAATGGAAAATATGTATCAGGACGTCACGACTTTCAGTACAGTTACATATCATCAAATTCAAGCTCATCCCAGATATACTTGCTTTCGACTGTAACTGTAATTTTGTAGTCTACTCTGATTTCAAAATCCGTTTATGACGTCGCAGTTTGTAAAATAGAAAATATGGTAACATATATATTATTACGTCACAAAAATTTTAATCTTTAAATGTATCGTCTTCACTATTGCCCAGCAATGCTGCCACACTAGATGTTTTATAGTAGTAGTAGTAGTAGTAGTAGTAGTAGTAGTAGTAGTAGTAGTAGTAGTAGTAGTAGTAGTAGTAGTAGTAGTAGTAGTAGTAGTAGTAGTAGTAGTAGTAGTAGTAGTAGTAGTAGTAGTAGTAGTAGTAGTAGTAGTAGTAGTAGTAGTAGTAGTAGTAGTATTTTATTTCGTCAACAATGTCAAATAGTATACATACAACATTTCAAAATTATTTTCAAGGCATTGTGACGAGGATGTAAGCTAGATCTAGATGTTTTTTTCATGATCTGGATGTAAAATTTGGAGTCTAGATGTTAGCTATAAAACCCAGATATTTTTTTTTCAACGTTCCGAATATTATCTAGTGGGAAATAAACAAAGAGATGTGTATAATAGGCCTACTGTAATATGTGAGCAAATATTACTTTATTACTAAGAAGTTAGTCAAATATATTGATGTGAGATTGATAGAACTCATTTATATTGTATTTGTCTACTGGTATCATATGTACTTAATTTATTCGAATAACGAATTAAACATGTGACGTTTTAAATAAATAGAAAGGACGACGTTGGTCCGATGATTCAGTGCTTACTATTGTATTGTTGCCAAGTGGTGAGAATAATTTGTGTAGTTCAAGTTGCTTACGCAGAATTTTAAAATTATATAGTTATTTAAGCGCTATTGAATTTGTCTTTTTTTACTTTTTATTGCTATGAACTGTGCAAAAAAATAAACTGAGAAACAGCATGATGATAGATTTACTGAATGCAATATATACTGTTTATTAAAGTTGGCCCGATTCAAACAAAACAATGCTTCACTTATAACTTGCTGATTCGGTTGTCAAGAAAATAGGTACAGCAAAAACTTATAAAAATTCCTCTGAAGAGACAACACCAACAGATGTTAGCTTCTTCGACATATAATATTATGTAATATAATACTCTTCGTATGCTCTTGTTTCGTTGATTTTCATTGAATTCAATGGCTTCAAATCTAGATGTTTTATTTTTCAATCTAGATGTTTTCAGTTTGACAAAAGTGGCCGCCCTGGGCAACAGGGCTGCCACTTTTGCCTAACTGAAAACATCTATATATACCACTCTAGCTGTGTTATAGCTATATCAATGAGGGGTGTGAATAACTTTTGTTGTTCGAGTTGCTATTGAATTTGTTGCTCTATAAACATCAACCTTTCGAAATGCCAAAGTTTAAACACTATCACTAAAAATTTAGAAAATATTGGCTTAAGGAATCAGCCTCTAAGGCAGGGGTTCCCAAACCAGGGGTCGCGGCCCCAAATTGGGTCGGACGTCGGAGGGATAAGTAGGTAGGGTCGCAAACAGGTCGTGGGGTCGCTGAGGTATGGTAGAGGATGGATGTACAAAACATCTGAGATTTGACAAACCATGCTTATGCTATAGAAAATTTATGTGCTTATTTTGACATCACTGTTTGGTTTTAGCTTATTTTACTAAATACCACCACATGACCAAACTTAAAAGTTCAGTGAAAGAAGCTCTAAAGTTTCATGGAAAATATATAAATTGCACTGTGGGTCGCACTGGACAATTGAAAGTTGTCTTGTCTTGAAAAAAGCTTGAATTCTATGTTATGAAGTTAGCTTCTTCGACATCTAATATTATTGTATTATGTAATATAATAAACTTTGTTTGCTCTTGTTTCGTTAGTTTTCATTAAATACAATGATTTCATATCTAGATGTATTTTCTAGATGTTTTATTTTTAATCTAGATGGTGGTGCACCGCTAAACTGATATGCCCAAATTCGTTATATCCCAATTTATTGAGCAAGCCTGTGCCTACTCTTCTTTTACAAATTTTATGCCCGCCTATAGGGGAACGTATTATATATATATATACATATAAACGTTATATGATTCTCAAAATAGTCACTCTTGTTGCAAGTTTTCTTTGTAAAGCTTATTAATTTCTATTTACCTAATCACTTACAATTTATCCAAATTGCTTTCACTGTAACCGTTTTCCCCTCGCTTGTCGTTCGTTTTCCATGTAACTTATATATACATTTATCCGAATACGCCTTTTTTGTAAATTTATCCTCGGAGTGTTTTTTCCTTTTTTATTCTATTATAAGATTTTAGTAAAGTTGAGTTTGCTGCGAAGTTTTCCAATAATTCATAAGTCAAAATATGTTCATCATAACGACTATTGCATAGTCAATGTTTGTAGCAAACTAGTTATTTTTTATACTGAACAAGTAACAGCGCTTTAGACCTAACAAGATCCCTCGCGACTTCTGTCGCACAACTAACATTATCATTATATTTATTTCCCGTCCCAGTTTTTGTGCGTTAGATGTTTTTAGTCAGGCAAAAGTGGCAGCCCTGCTATTGCCTCAGCTGCCGTTTACGGCTTCAACATAGTCAAAGTCAAGTTTATTTTTTCCCATTCAGTAAAAAATAACATACGAAATTAACAAAATACAAAACTGAAAACGCATTTTTACTGGGGAAGGGAAGTCGCGGGGAACCAGGAATGGTTATCGAGCAGCGACACCCAACATGTGTGAGTATTAGTTTGTTAAAAAAGTTACTTAATTTTAAACAGCTAGTTTTCTTTAACCTTTCCAAATATGAAGTTTATATACTTCTTGTGATAACCAACGAACGTCCAAGCAAAATTTTAAATGTGCCCCTGTCATTTTACAGTCGACGGCCAAGTTACGCTACGTTTTTATTCGTATCAAAAGGTCGGTTCATTTCATATTTAGTCTGCATAAACAATGAATTAGGTAATCGTCTTATGAGTCGGTCATTCAATGACGTTATGTTTGCTAATACTGGCGCTAAATAAACCATTCATTCATGAAACGGCGAGATTTGCGAGTACCTGTTTCAGTGTCGGGGCAAAGTCTGAAGCATCGGTACGACAGTACCAGCTCGATAAAGTGGCGTGGTCACCGTTTGCTGCTATGTCTATTTGATTAGGTACGGTTTGAAACCCTTGTCACAAATAAGAATCTACGACAGGGAGCATTCAGCAAAGCATAATCAACAGAATAAAGTATTTCTGTAGGTTTTGAGACAGAATCGGACGGCAGACTGGGACAGTTTCCGTTGTCCAGATGTCTGAATGTTGGTAGCGTTATTTGGGTATACGCGCACAGTTGCACAGTTCTGTACAAATGCCAAATGAAGTATAGGCCTAGTTATGCGTGATGTTACTACATGGTTAGTTTTATTTATTTAACTGCTTACAGATTTGGGTCTACCACGTTCATTTTAACTCCATGTATCATAGCATCCGGTCCACAAACTTTTCAGGAAGTTGTAGGTGATTAGTTACCGTACCATACTGCCATATGTGAATTTTAATATCTTAGGATATAGCCTACTTTTACATTATTGCAGTAATTAGAAAATCATGATATATCTGTATATGTTACAGTGTTATAAGTAGGGTTATGGAATGAGTTCAATAAGTAGGTTTACTCTGACTTCAGGACTTCATAATTACAATAAATGATGAAAGCAAAGGCAGAACCATAGCTAAGGATGCCAAGAATGCAAACTGATACTGATACTAATCTAGTTTAACCATAGTTTGAAATAAATATTTCAGATCATAAAAATTTCTGTTTTTCATGTAAAATATGATATTTTCATATTTTTGCATTGAAACAATAAATGGTGATTTTTCAATAAAAATTAGAGTGCTCATTTTGTCACTTTGTTGCAAAATAAATTTGTTCAAAAAAATTCCAAATTGAGTTTTAGAAAATGTGTATAGTGACATACCGTAGGTTACCAAGTTTGAATTGGTAATGTTTAGTCTTAATACTGTAATAAGCATGTTTTTTTCTTTCTTTTTCCGCATCCAGACATCACAGGCATATATAAAAAACTGATAATAAAATTGGACCTAAGTTACTGTTAGTATGGATTTGTTGAATAACATAAAGACACGGTTTTGGAGTGAAGATTTCTGGTTGCCAAAGGGAATAACATGGGATCTTCTCAAAAACACTGAAACAAGGCAGTATGGACAATGCAGAGATTTGGTTGTTATTTTTCCTATTACCTTATTAATATTTTGTATTCGCATGATATTAGAAAAATCCATAGCGCAACCCATAGGTAGACGTCTCAATCTGCCGGACAAAGCCCACAAGGCACCTCAGGATAATATTATCCTCGAAAAAGTTTTTAAAACTATAACAAAGTCTCCTAACAAAAAGCAGTTGGATGGTTTATGCAAACAACTCGACTGGAATGAACGCCAAGTCTCACTGTGGTTTCGCATGAGGGGTCTCTCAGGTCGGCCAAGTACTCTTCAGAAGTTTTCAGAAGAATTTTGGCGATTTACTTTTTATTTAGTCAGTTTTCTTTACGGACTTTATGTTCTTCATGATGAAGAATGTGTATTCAATAGAGACAAGTGTTGGTCGGACTTTCCTGGAAACCATGCCATGACTACCAAAATGTATTGGTATTATATAATTCAGATAGGTTTTTACACTTCTACCACTTTGACACAGTTTTTTGATGTAAAGCGAAAGGACTTTTGGGAGATGTTTATCCACCACATTGCCACTATCTTGTTGTTGCTTGGTTCTTATATCATGAATTTCACAAAAATGGGATCTTTCATTGTGCTCGTGCATGACAGTGCAGATTTTTACCTGGAGTTTGCTAAAATGGCTAAGTATGCAAAATACAAGCAGACAACCAATGTATCGTTTGGTTGTTTCGCATTGGCTTTCTTAGTTTCACGGTTGATAATTCTGCCGTTCTGGATTATCCCTGCAATATGGGATGGTGGCATGGGTTCATTTTTGCCATATTCAGTGATACATTATCTTTTCCCATTTTTGCTAACTCTTCAAGTACTTCATTTTTATTGGGGATGGCATGTTTCATACGCTGTTTATTCATCTATCGTCGTTGGGGAGATAAAAAGGGACACTCGGAGTGATACAGAGGAAGAATCTGATAATGAAAATGAAAAGAAACATGGAACAAATGGAAACAAACGTACAAATCACATAGCTGGTGGTGAGTCCAACGGAATTCACAAAAGAGTTACTTCAACAAAATAGACTTTCTGACAGAAATAACAGCCTATATGTATAAGCAACTTTCTTATATGTTGTAATAGGCATATATTTTACTAAATGGAACCAATTTTGTTTAATGCATCGTGCACACTTTAAACTTGGTTTTCATTCATGGTTTGTGCTTGATAAATAATATAATTGGGTACTCCCGTAGTGTGTGTACCAGGTTAGAGTTAGGCTGTGATTTTATTCCGATTTTCCTCATTTTAGTTCTATTACGAGTTCGGGGACTGTCTCTGTTAGCCAAATGAATATACCCCCTGCCCATAGGCTTTCGTCCCTTTAGGTAATATAGGGGAACAAAATTAGTTACCTCCATATTGGTACACACTACACACACTTCTGGAGCGCCTATAATTGATTGTAATGAATTGATGATTGGGTTGGTATGTTTGGTTTATGGCTGGTAATCATAAAATAATAGGTACCTATTAGTTCATTTTACCTTTCCTCAAACATGATTTGTATATTTTGATGTCACTTTGTATTTATCAATTTCATCAAAAGGCTAACAACATAATGCAACATCACTTTCACTTGACTAATTTGACACATAATTGATATTTTCCAGTGAAGTAACTAAAATTTTGTTTTCATAAAATCTAGCAAGCATCCTGAAAATCTTGGAATATAGAGATTTAAAATAATTTGAATATCTCCCACATGACATGAATGCCATTTTTGCAGTGCTTTATTTAAATGTTGCATTAAATTATTGTACTAAATACAGTACCAATAACCTAATTAATTTCCCACTCAGAAATAATGTTATCAGTATTTCACAATAAGGTCTAGTAATAAGTGTATATGACCTCAATCGTATCAATATCTTATTGTGTACATTGATATGATACCTGTAGAAAATTGCATTAGAATGTCATATTGTATTTTTTATGCCAAATAGGTTTATGGAAAAAATTGAATAGTTTGGTATTCTGGAGTTTATTTCGCGAATCAAAATAAATTTCTCTGGAGGGCATTAAAATTTAAACTTTTAGTTTATGAAAATTCAAAATATGTCTATAGTTAATTGATTGTTCTGTATATTATTACATGTTTACTATGTTTCATATATCTTCTATGTAAACAGTGATTTTTATAATCTACTCATCCTGATTTCATGTGTATCATATGCTTTTTGCTTCATATTATTGATAAAGCAACTCATGCCCCATTGAGATTGAACCTATTATAATAATGAAGTTAATTTTAAATTATTCATAGAGCAATGAATTACTTAGTGTGATGCCACTTTCTGTACTTTAAAATTTCATCCTATGAACTTCCAAATTCCTTTTTTTTATGTGTTAAAACAAGAAAACAATACTATTCATCATAGTCCATTAAATGTCACCATTCAATATAGTTCCCATCACCATCGTATATACCATGAATTCGTCATCAATACTATCCAATTCATTCAGATACATATTATCCAGTTCATTAAGATTATTGAATTTTTAAAGTTATTAGAGTTATACACGTTCAACATTTACAAAAAACAAAAATTACAATTAGCAAATGAATATTTCACACTATTATTAATAAATTAGGACAAAAAATTCTTATGTTACATCTATCGGTACACCTTGGGCAAAAGCATTTATCCCCAACTTAATTATCCCTGTAAGCCAACATATAGCTTTGGGGATGTGAACATTTTTGAATTTATTCAACTTATAACAAGGCCTTGATAATGTATTATGACATTTGACACAAACATGTTACCTCTTAATGGTAATTGGATCAAGAAAAGTAGGGTTGTTTTTCAAGTCACATTACTTGTAAATTATTCGTTTATTTTATGACTAGAAAATATCTGTCCCCCTCAACCATTTAGGAAATAATGTGTGTTTTCAATTCTCCTCGCATATAATAAGTTTATTTCGACTCCATAATCAACATAACAAACTAGAAAATGTTGGATGAAAACTGATTATAGAATTAGCTTGAATCTAGATCACCATATGAAAGTACTGGTACTCTAGTAATATCTGCACTGCTATTCTTAATCCACTGGTATTCAGTATGCAATTGGGGACTGCTGTTCACAGGTGATCTGCCTTAATTCCTATGCATTGTATTATACACTTTGTTTAAGATTGTACACAGAGCAGAGAATCTAAGCGAATTTCTTCATGGTTTTGAAAATTTGAGCAACACTGTATGTTTTGTATTGCACACTTTTTCAATTTTGTTTTGTTTTTCATTGACTTGTTTTAATTACGTTGTTTGTTTGTTCAAATATAATCTTATTACATTCAAATTAGTGTCTTCTATGGATGACATAAGAACATTTTGCATGTGTGCGTCGGTAGTTAGACATTGCTTAAGCATTTTCGGCAGCTACTTACGGTAATCAAAAAGTGATATCCTACTGATAACTTAAGTACAAGGTCCAAATATTATATTGTCGAATATGTTGTTGAGCAATCGCTTGAGTCACGCGCCAGGCCGGATGAATGTTGTTTCAGTTTTACAGTTGTCATTTGTGTTGGCCATTCTCATGAGTAATATAGATGTAATAACCAACATCGGTTCAGGTTTGCCTCCTCGTATTCGCGATAGGTCGGCGTGTTTCCATCGTCGTCCCATATCCTTGTCTCTCACCTAGTAATGAGGAGCGTGTCAATTTTGCTGAGATTAAACTTTATTCAAATTGGCCAGACGGCGGGTAATCGAGTCGCAGTTATGTAATTCTCAGATCTTTATTGCCGTGGCGCATCTTATTTCGATGGCATTTTGTCAATCGAGGTTGGATGCAAATATTTTAATAACTGCCTCATTATGCTTATATAACTAAAATATGTCCGACTAGGCACTTGGTATTTTCTGATGATCATTTCCGAAAAAAAATATATGTGAATAGTTTGCATGTGGAACGTTCGCTCAAACCCACATCATGATTTTGCAAAACTTGGTGGCATTTTCTCAATACTTTAGGCGCGTTCTATAAACAATTCAATGTTGGTTGACTACGGTCTCGTCGATCTCTGTACAAATGTAATAATATAAGGCAAGGGACAAATCTAAAAGTAGGGATTCGGCATGTCAGGAATTGTCTCGCCCGCCAAGCCATTCAGTAGTCAGCACTCAGATTTTCCCCCATCAAGCGCACGGGCGCTCACATGAATAAAAATACATAATATTTTTTTCTTTTGTCATTGCGTTAAATCTTTCGCCGATTTTCGCAGTGCATTTATTTCTGTAGTGCAATGCGATAAGCGCATTCTCTTCTCTTACCGCTAAATTTGCTGTGTTGCCCATCTCGATGTCTGAAGTTGGCTTCATGGCCTATCCTATACCGACAAAAAATGTTGCACATACCTGATCTAAGATATCAGTGGCTCGTCTACATGGCTATTTTCGGAGCAAAAGGCGTCGCATAACAATAGCCTACAAAAGCTCTGTACAAGGTTGCGGGCGACCATCCAAGCGGCAAGACCTACTGAGACTAAAAAATTGTAGCATAGAATTGCGCGTTAGTAAATGCGAATTGACGCGAGATTTGAAGCAGTTAATGTCAATGCAATCCAGAATACAGTATATGGCGAGGTTATTGGAGACAAAATTACCTTTCTGTATGGTAGGTACAATGTGAGTAAACGGGCGATAGATCACAGCCTAACCAAAATAAGTGTAGGCCTAAATGGTTGTGTAAACGCTACTAAACAGTAAACGGCCAACATAAATGACCGAATAGCAAATGAAATTAACTGGAAAATCATTGATATATATTAAGAACAACGTAGATCCAGTAATTGAGCCTGAGAAACTCTGGGAGCGCTGGCCATCACGGACAACTTAAATTTTGCTATTAAAGGAAACAGCTTTTACACTAATAGCGCAGCTACGTCGGCACAACCATGTCTGAACGTTGTTCGAACCACAGGCCTAGCGATGGCGAACATCCATGGCCTGGCAAACAACCGCTGGTCCAACGTCGGTCCTTCCGTTGTAATACAACCATGGCATATGGTGGAACCAACGCAGGCACTGCCTTTACAACTGTTGCATATCACCACGCCAAGGTAGGCGATGCGTTGTAATACATTATTTGCTGTTTATTAAGCCATATCTTGTTTTGTCTGAAAAAGTTGGACTATGATCTAACGAAAGCTCACAAATATACTTGCCATTTCGTGGGGAGAAATTATGTCATTCTTATTTATCTTTATAATACTATCTCGTTCGTGCATCTTTGTGACAACTGGTACAAGCGGATCCGAAGTAAACAAGGAGAATGACTTGCAGTACAGTACATAATACCCTAGTACACCCCATATAGGGTTTGAAAAAGAGGTGTGTTGTACAATATGTAGGGGAAAGTGGGGAAGGTTGGAACACTTTTTTTCTTTTGCATATTTTGAGTCGTTAATTCTGCATATTCTCTTAAGTTTGCGGGACTAATGCATAGAGGGGTAAATGTAGTTTTTATTCAGCAACAAGGAAATTCCCTTGCGACACACATCTTACTACCAAAATGCTTTGAAAAACGTCTGTCAAGTGTCCCACTGTACCCCACTTGTGGGGCACAATCGGACAGAACCTGGGGCACAATGGGTCAGTCTGTCAAAATTCAACGAAGTATGCCCTTAAAAATAAGCAATTAATCAGCATAATCGTCTAAAGTACGGGGAGACTTCGAATTTGAAGATTTAATATTTTTAAAATCAATGTTCAACTGAAATAGTTCAGATATTTTGACAAAACATTTTGCAAAAAAATTTGATTATTTCCTTCCTCGAATCTAAATCTGGAAATATTATTGATTCTCGAATATATTCCATATTGGGCCATGGGTCGAAAGAAACCATTATATTACACAATATATAACGCATCTCTAAGTCTCTAAGCACTTATTGTATCAAACACTGTCGAATTGTGCCCTGTAGAGCATGTCCCACTGAACCCCGGTCCATTGTTCCCCATAGGAAACAAATATTTTCAGACCATCCCACGGCAAAATTCGGAAGGCACAGCCACTCAATAACGTTAGGAATATTTTACAGTGGATTGACGCTAAAGAATATCAGACGATGGTTTGTCTCGTTGGAAAGGCTAAACTAAAAAAAAGAAAAAACTGGAACGGTGAAATTTTTTTTTCAACCTCCCAAAACCAATTTCACCCCATAGCTTGCACCAATCTACCCGTCCGTTGTCCGTTCGCGGGGACGTTGTAACTCACCGAAGGGCGGATTGAAACATCGAGCCGCGGACAAGATTGCGGATATAGTATCAGTGTGATAGCTGATTTTCCACTGTGCCCCATGTCCCAACGTACCCCACCTTCCCCTACATACGGTACATGCTTACAGATATATGTAAATGCTTTCACTCACCGGTTTTAATAGGTTTGAAAATATCTGTATAACATTAGCAAAATATGTCACTTATACACATAAGAATGACTTTTAGAGAATATTAACTTGTTTTTTTCTCAACATTGGGGCCTTCCTATAGTCTTAAAACGTAGCCGTAGAAAATGCGAAAAGACGGACAACTCACCAGACCTCTCTGTAGTATAGTTGTCCGTCAGCCGCCAACACTGCGGTTCCTGATATTAAAAGTTCAACTTCACCATCCTTACCACCTGGAAAACATCGCGACAGGACGTCGTTTAACCACTGAAGAATGGCGGAATCATGTGCTAATTAAATTGCGCCAATTTATCCACATTATGACGAGGTTTCGCTGAACACCAATCATGGCCTTACGATGGTGAATAGTTGTAAAATCACGTACAACTTTGTCCGCCGATACGACGCAGACCCAACATACAGCAGTTGCATTATCAGGGAGCCTACTATTTCTGGAATCAGTCGCTTCGATGTTTGACTCCGCCTTTGGGCGAGGCACGACCAGAGTTACCATATTGGCTTTTTAATAAAACACGTTTGGCGTCAGAATTTCCGTTTGGCGTTTTGGCTTTTTTTATAGCTTTTTTATGTCTTTTCTAGTGTTTATTGTTGAAATCATACGAATTCCAATATTTAGTGTGCAACAATAGCGTATGGCTTAGCTATTTAACATTTGGATTTCCCCGAGCATCGATTTCCTTCTTCTATTCAATTGTATAGGAACAGTTTTTTACGGTGCCGGTATATCGCAAGTTTAAGTAGAAACATCGGCACCATGTATTGTATATATTGAATGGTAAAATATTGCTGTCCGCTCAATCTTTCTTTTAATTGTTTTTCCATTTATTTAAATTTTTTATATAGAAGTGAGCTTCACAGTATTGTGTTGGATGTACATTATGGTTCTGTCATTCGATACTTTCCATGTGAAAAGACATTTGGTGTCGCGCGCAAAATGAACTGAGAGTTTTAAATTAGCATATTGCAAACTGTGTAAATCCACTATTGTGCTAGGGGTTTCACATCTGACCAACCATGGGGCTTTTGTGATGCTTTATTGTGTCTTGATCTTCTAGCTTTTTTTATTATTTATTATCACTGGGATCTGGCAACCCTAGTGACGACGCCCCCCCCCCCCACCCCCCACAAACTGACAGCGGTCGTGAAGAGCTAGGCAAGCAATGCGATGTTTTTTTTTGGGGGGGGGGGCTCTTTCAACAGGACAAGCCGCTATCTGGCATATTTTAGCTTTGGATAGATGATTCTTGCTAATCTCGACATGGAACAGTTATGAGGAAAACGGGACCGGAGTCTGCCACTAGGCACAATTCGACAGTGTTTTATTTATTGAGTGCTTACTTTAAGTTTTGTGTAATATGAGGTTACCTTTGACCCGTATTACAATTTGGAACATATTCTAGATTCGAAAATATTTTTTCAGAGTATATTCGAAGGAGTAAATTATTTGGTTTTGGTCGCGATTGGATAGACATTTTTCTTGTTAATATATAATCAGTGTTTTTGTTGTTTAATTGGACACAGTGAACATATTTGTTTTAAGAATTTTTTGGAAAAAGATCTGAAATATTTGTATTAAACCTTGATTCAGAAACATCAAATCTCCAAATTTAGAGTTCTTTAGTTCTTTAGACGATGATGCTGATTCGTTGCTAATTTTTACAAGCATATATACATTGGTTGAATTTATTCGACTGCGCCTTGTGCATCAAGATGGCCCACCAATGGGGTGCAGTACAACACGTTTTTCGAAACCTTTTGGTGGTAAAAGTGTGTCCCTTGAGAACTTCTCATTCACTGAGTAAAAACTTCATATACCCCTCTCTGCATAAGCTCAGCAACGTGAGATGATTGTGCGGGTTAAAGGGTTCTAAAGAAAAAGGTATCTCAATCATCCCCATATTTTTTCGGTTGTGAACGTTAGCAAATCGGGTGTAGAATGTCTGTTGTATATGAGTATAGATAACTGGAATGATGGACGTTTGAATCCACTAATGTTATGAATAGTCTATGACAGATGACGAGAAAATGAAGATCTTATCCATTTCGTCAATACCCCACATCACATTGTTTGATATCAGTGGCCGCTCGTACCTGGGCTTGCTCAGTACGAAAGAGGCGAGTAAGCGTCGTACTGAAAATGTTTTGACGCAAAATTTAACAAAATTCTTATGAGTGTCCGTGCACAGAATTTACCAGCATAGTTTGAATTTAAGTTTATATGTACCGGCATGTTAGTCGTTGTATGTACCGTGTCTTCCCGAAAATAAGACTCGGTCTTATTTTCAATTTTCTCCCGACAAATAACGCTAGAGCTTGTTTTCGGGGATGTCTAATATTTTCATTTATCAAAAACAAAGTTACAAAGTAGAGAATTACGAGATTTTTAAATATGCAAAAATATGGAAGCCGATATCCATTTACTTATAGATAACACAAAAATCCTTTTCAAAATTCAGGCTAGGTCTTCTTTCCAGGGTAAGTATAGCCTAGTATTTTCGAGGAAACACAATGTCCTAAACCACTGTTTACCCCGCTAATCAGTGTAGTTTTTCGTGACTTTTGACTGTCCTCGTCATCACATCCACGCGTTATATTTGTATTTTATAGGTATTACAGCCCGAAGTTCAATTTATTCGCGTAGTTTTTGTGTGTTTATTTCTGGCCCAAGCCTCGTTTAACAAGGTTTGTGTTTTTTGTGATTTTTATTTGTGAGTGTATTCTGGTGAGCGGCTCATGATATTTCCCATATATATTTAAAAACTTTTTCAAACGTTTTGCTTGCTCTTCAAAATTCTTCATTTTTAATTTGCGAGTATCATAGAGTTCGAAATAAACTATTTAGTTAATCCAATTTATCCCTAATTGCAAAATCAACTTGGTTTATAATGGCCAACGCCCCAAATTTGTCTTATTTCTTCTGGAGTTTCTCAGGAATTGATTCGTAAATATACATTGTTTGTGATATTTATTGAATTGTTTAAAAACGCGACAAATGTGTCAATTAACACAAAATAGAGAGCAATGCTTAAATATATATAATGTTCGACAAGTCGTTATCCGAGTCAACTAACTTCTGGCTCCTTATATAATACCAAAAGACATATCGTGGGACGGGTGTCTGTAGCGATGTAGCGAAATCAGTGGGATATAACTGAAGATTCATTTCGTTGTCTATAGTATACGTACAGCCAACGGAACAATACGAAATAACCATTTTCAACAGCCAAACAAAACGGAAACGTATAATCCGGCTTGCAACTGACAGGAGCCATATGGACGTTTTTGTTTTATTGCCGTCCGGTAAACAAAGTCACGTGACCCGTGCAAGTCCTCTATACCTATGCAAAAATATTCGTGCCTATTTTGCGGATATTTTCACGAGTTGACTCTTGTATAACGGATTTCATGATTGAACTTACTAACTATTTTATTCAATAGATTTAACCACTTGTCATTAAAGAGTACCGCCAATATGTAAACGTTGAGTTATTTTTTGTTAGCCGTTGTTACGATAGCCATTGATCTAAACAGAGACAATGCATAACAATGTTATGTAACATCTATCATCTAAACAAGAAAGGCTCCTACGTTTTCGGGTTCCTACTAGGGCTGTTGTTTTTATATTTTCTCAGAGTCTTGGTAATAAGGATATTTTATCAGACTGAAATGAAAAATCAATTTCTGGTTTATAACGATATGCTTCATTGAATTATCACGGTCAAGAAGTGCTGTGTCATGATAAATACTGTCGTCGAGTTTGAGGACATTGAGGTTCGGTGTAATTTCGTGGTCTGTGTTTTGCGTTCTGCAGTTCTGACCGTTTGTTTCTGATATTAACCTATAAACCTTCACTATCTTGATATTTAGGTCAAATATTATTAATCGGCAGCAATATGTCGCGATATGATCGTGCCATAACAGTATTTTCTCCAGATGGTCATCTTTTTCAAGTAGAATATGCACAAGAAGCCGTAAAAAAAGGTTCTACCGCTGTAAGTTTTGTGTAACATGTATCTGTGTATAGTGCATTGTAGAGTATTGACTTTAGGTATTTGGTGTCAAATATATATCTGTATTTATACAAAACAGTAGTAATAAATGTAATTTTCATAAGTAAATATATAAATCAGACAACTGGACAAAGTAAACAGATGAAATTCCAACTTCATCCCATTGGCTATTCAGCTATTGTATCAAGATTTCCTAATTCAGCAATTACCGAAATATGAGTTGAATTGCAAATCACAGAAAGTAAATTCCTGTAGTCTATAGCTCTGTAGCTTGCTAGTGATTTAGCACAAGTGCATAAATCTGTAAATTTAGAATAATTACATGCTAACATGTTGAAAATTCATTGATGGGTTTAGTAGCCATGTCTGCTTGTTGAAACAGTGGAACCTGTTAAACTACATTAATGTCACCACTTGCTGACTTGCAGCTTTCTGGTTCACATGTAACCTTAATAAATAAAACATGCAATGTTGAATTTACAAGATCCTAGTTGTTAAACCCTGAAATGTAGCAGCTTCTCGCTTATACATGTTATATGAGACAGCTTGTCCAGAATCTTACTGCAGTACTGTATCAAAAATATGTTATATATAGAAAGCCTAGGGTCTTACTACTTACTGAATACAGCGCGAAACACCGCAAAGAGCGCAAAACCACGCGAAATAGCGCGAAACAGCGCACATTACAGCATTACTGGCTACATATGTTGGTTTGTGTTTTTAATTTGCTGCCGTGGTACTCCAACTCAAAACAAGGTGCCCCGAACTCATTGCAAATTTTTTTTCTGCTTCACACTGTTTCCCTCTGTTTCGCGCTTTTTCGCGCTGTTTTGCGCTGTTTCCCCACTGTTTTGCGCTGTTTCGCGCTGTTTTGCGCTCTTTGCGGTGTTTCGCGCTGTATTCAGTAAGTAGTAAGACCGCTAATTCTGTAATTGATTAGCAGATATGTAAAGCATGAAGCACTTTCGGAAATTCTTTTGTTTCAATATTATAGATCCTCTGGAGATGGAATTGTTGTTTTCAATAGCATGGTAGCATAACGTTATGCCTGTCTATTTTTGATTCATCTTATTTCTTCTGTTTGCAAAAATCTAAAACTACAACGATATTTTCTAATGTTTTTAGGTCGGGGTGCGAGGGAAAAATGTTGTTGTGTTGGGTGTTGAGAAAAAATCTGTAGCCAAGTTGCAAGAAGAAAGAACAGTAAGAAAAATCTGCAACATTGACGATCATATCAGCATGTCTTTTGCAGGTATAAGAAACAATATATTATATTTTTTGCAAATACTCAAAACAAGGCACCAAGCCCTCAAAATTGAGAAACGTACTCATAGAAGCACTCATACATGCAATCCACGGGCCATGGCATACCAAGAGGAGCTATATCAATTTTATCTCACTACAAATACAATCAATGTAAAAAAAAGTTTATTCTATTTTTCAGGTTTAACTGCAGATGCAAGAGTTATTATAAATCGTGCTAGGATTGAGTGTCAAAGTTATCAATTATCAATGGAAGATCCTGTTACTGTTGAATATATCACAAGATACATTGCAAGTCTAAAACAGGTATTTTTACAAAGGATAGGATGGGATTTACATATTTATCCCGGGGGAGAGGAAAGCCGATAAGACGGCTTATCCATATGGCGAACTATGGCCTCTCATCCGGTTACCATTCCAAGTCGGGTATGGAATTAGTTATATTGTTTGTTTTCGGAAGCATGGACTTGGGTATACTGGGCCATTAAAATGTCATTGCTAGCATAAAACAATCCTTCTAGTCTTGTACCAGGGGTATTTATTGTATCATTCGCATTGTGTCATTGGTCTGCACTATCGGTAATGTATTTAGTTGTACCAGCTTGCGCTTGTTTGATCAAGTTTATATAAAAATCCTTTTTTTTTAAACTACAGAGATACACTCAAAGCACTGGTCGACGACCTTTCGGATTATCTGCATTAGTCGCCGGATTCGATGACGACGGAACACCTCGGCTATATCAAACTGATCCATCTGGTACATACCATGAATGGAAGGTATGGGTTATATGTTTACTTCTTAACTATCATTTTGTAGGACAGACATAGTATGGTTCACCTCTCAATATTAAAGCTCATAAGCGATCCATATGAGCATGAAAACAAGATTGCACGGACATTTCAGGACAACTACAGAGTGACATGCAAAAACAAAACCCTGAACATTTGGAACATATTCCAGAGAGAACATAGATTTCATGCAAAGCATCCTAGATGACTGAAATTTTTAGGTACTATACACAAACAGATCTTAGAATGTTAAACAAATTTTTTATTCATTTACGCAGAAGTTGAGAAATGTATGGGTTTATTGGTTTTTTTTTTTCTGGTCACCCTGTAACAGAAGTTACATTTGATAAAATTAGAGCGATAAACAACCTTGATATTTATCAGCCTGCCACTTATAATTTCTTATTATGCATACAGGCAAATGCAATTGGACGAAGTGCTAAAACAGTGAGAGAATTTTTGGAAGAACACTACAAGGAAGAAGTATCAAACAGTGAAGCTGCTACAATCAAACTTACAGCAAGAGCTTTGTTAGAAGTTGTTCAATCTGGAAGTAAAAGTATCGAACTTGCGGTTATAAAACATAAGCAACCTATGAGGGTAAGTTTGTGTCCCATTTGTTTGAAAAAATGAGTCGTTTCATTTACACTCGGTCTGATGTCTTTATGTGTCTCACCTTCGCATTTTCATACTTTTAAAACCACAACCTACTTTTTGTAACAAAACTTTATGCAGATTGTTTAACGTTTAGACTAGAGACATTTGAAAATATTTGATTAGTAGTATTGACTTATGAAGCTGTCTATGTGGCAGTATATTAGCCCTCTATGAATGAGTTGGTGATTTGGGACCCTTACAAAACTATCCCTATTCATGACTAAAAGAAATTGGGTTCGTATTATTTTCTCTAGTAATAAAATTTAAACCAAAATGGGGTTAGAGTTTGGTATATGTTGCAATTTTACAGGGATGGGTTGCCAACATGGTTAATTCTAACACTTCAATTACAATTGTTCTCATATAGATGATGACAACAGCAGAAATTGAAAAACTTGTTGAAGAAGTTGAAAAGGAAAAGGCAGAGGAAGCTGAAAAGAAGCAACAAAAACTAGGAAAATCATCTTCATAGTCACTGCTCATTTTTAACTCTTAAACCAACATGATTGTAGTCATTGCAACGGCATGAGGGAATGTTATGTTCCAAAGTGCAGCCGCTGTCAGGCCTGGCCGGCCATATCTTTCTGTTTCTAGCATTTGTTGCTTTATTGGAATGTAATTATAAATTACCAATTACATCTGAAAAGTAAGATTTTTGAAAAAGTACATTTAGCTTTGCAGATGTATGTCAACTTGTTGAGTTAATGAGATGAAAAATATATAGCAGGGTGCACAACTCAAATGAGGGTACATGTTTTTAAATAAATCTTCTCGTGCTTATCGACACGTTTGAATAATTGTTAATATTGTAAACGTATTTCCATAAAACGCATTGTGAAGCCTTTGAGAATAGAAAGAGTTGTACCACAAACCATTAGATAAGAAGATAAAAAGTTGTCCAGTCTTGTGAAACCATTTCTCTTTCAGCGAAATGTTTTGCTCATTGGCTACAATCGGTGCGAATTTTTTAGTGTTAGTTTTACTACTATGTACTAAGAAAGCTAATGGTAGCCGTCTAGCCCTGCAGGCGACAGAAGGGTTAACAAAATATTGTCAAATCCGACATTAACACTACTTGTTAGTTTCTGGTAGAAACAGGAGCTGGGCACGTGTGAATATACTTGCTGATTTAAATTATTGGCTTGCCGCACAAACGCGAATTAGGATGATGGAAAAATCATGTTTAACCTACCTAACCGATTTCTGATAAGGTCACGAGCTAGCCATGTGTGAATAAACATGGTAGTGAAGTTAATTTAGATATATAAATTATTAGGATTCATTATAAAAACGAGAATTAGCTTTTACGAAACTGTAAGCGGGCCACGTCCAAGCACATGGTGTACCACATTGGACATGCCTGCTCAGTAATGCATGATTGCCACCAGGTAAACTCATGTTGTTAATAAATAAAGCACAACCGGTGTTAGCAAAACGATGAAGTTTTTCTGTATAGAAACTCGAAACGTCGGCAAATTACATCGTTTTGCTAACACCGATTGTGCTTTATTTATTAACTGCTCAGTGTTCTTCATCCCTGCCCTATAACTTACAAAGATAAAGACTTATGTACAACAAATTTATCTGACTGAGATCTGTCACTGTTGGCTTTGCTAGAATTTATCATTTCATTACTTATATGATTTGTAGCCTGCAAAGATTGGGTCTCGTGTAGTTTCGTACCTAACGTACTTCTTGTGGGCTAATGAGTTAACTTTCAAGATATTATAACGAAGGTGAACAAATGAATGGGAGATAACAGATTATCTCGAGGCACTGATCCTTATGTATCGTCCTCCCCTGGGATGAAATCTGCCCCAGAGAATATCTACCAGACCTGGTTCTCATGGCCTCAAAAACCAAGGTCTGTTCGTTTGAACTTCAACCCCAATAGTACACAATGTTTGATATCAGGATATGTATTTATTGTAATACTTGACAGCAAGGGATAAAAACACAGCTAACATTAATAAAATCATTGGTAAATATCTTTCAATCGCTTTTAAATTCCCTTTCATAAAAAGTACATCGTCTTCAGGTACTTCTGAAACCTAAGAATTGTAAAATAAGGATATTATATGTCATGAAGTTCAATTCTTCTGGTGGCGAAGATACATAATACTACCTGACTGAATCCAGAGATTTGGCCTTTCGGTAAAGCATCACTCAAACCTGGACAAGATGCCTCGCTATCTTTCACTCTGGAACCTTTCAGAAAATGTTTCCCTGTAATATTAAAAGTATGGGCAAAATAGTAATTGATATTCAGCCAGATAATATTAGCTATCAATTTATTTTATAACATAAAAAATGGCCATTACATTTAGTCCGACTTACAGGGTAAGCCCCAAAAAACGGAGTTTCTTAGCCAAATTTGAGAAAATGAAGATTTATTTAACACTAAACACCAAATACTTGGTTTCATACTAGACATGGAATGCCAACCATATAAGGAATCGTGAATTAACAATTAATGTACCTTGCATCCATTTACAGAAAATACTAAAGAACGGCATCAAAACATAGTAAATGAAACATACCTGTTTCATAAATATCAACATCAAACATCTTCCCCATCAAATCTTCTTCCATTGATATTAAAACCTAAAAATATCAAAAATTAAGACAAAATCGACACATACGAAGCAATTAGACTCTGTGAGTTTACAAATCCAGGATATACATTATATGACAATCCCAACTAAAAGAATGATGTACGACTGTACCTTATCAAGAAGAGTTCTGATTTATTTTGAATAAATAACCATGCCAGCACTGCAAAATAGTTCACATTTGACCCAGGTAAGGCTTTGCATTGTTTGCAACACAAAAAGATTGGAATTACTCGCATGTACCAGATTAAACTAAATTGGGAAACTCGTTTTGCGTGCCGCACACCATTTAAAATTGGCAGTTCTATGCGAGTCGAACAATTTTTCCTTGTGGGTTGCATTTTGCCCGCATGCGGCCCGCAGGTTGGACACTCCTGCCTTAAATATTCAATCAATTGGTAACACAGAACTGAAAGTTTCAGTTTCCTGGAATCATCCAACCAGCAGTCTATAAATATACCTGTTCATAATATTTATTATGTCCGACGAAATGTTTCCTGTCGTGCGAGATTTCGGTGACAAGGACAGTTTGTCGTGTTCCTAATTTATGTTCATATGGTTTATATGATTGAAATAATTCTGAAAGCCGCTTCGTTCTTTTCTTGATCTATAAAAAATCAAAGAAAATCAAAGCGCAGTTGAAAATCGAAATCAAGTGTAGGTAATGTATACAAATACTCTTGAACTAATAAAATTATATCAAAATTTATGTACTGATACCTAATTACAACTGATTTAAAAATTTGTAACAACAAAACAAAATCAACCATAGGTAAAAAAAATAAAGCTAGAAGTACAATCAATCTTTGATAAAGTACATTCCCAAAGTTGGTATACACATAAATATTGCGCAATATATTTTCTCCTCGAACTTGGTATATATTTGATACTACACAATGCAGATTAAAAAATTTTCTCCAGAATATATTCAAACATCAAATCTGTTACCTCTTGCCTATTTATTTGTGGCATTTTCGCAGCCGGTGTTCCAGGTCTTGGAAAAAACTGGTTCATAAATAAGCTTGGAAACTTATATTTTTCACATAATTTCATTGTTTCTTCAAAGTCCTATCAAAGCAGTATATACAAATATTAACAAAGAAAAATAAGGATTAATAAGTGAAACCATACTTGGATGGAATTTTAACTTTTATCACAGGGGTTTGTGTATGAAATACACCGTTAGGGAAGTTAAGCAAGGTTTGCACTCTAGCAATCATTTCTCACACGGTCGTCCTCAGTGGAGACATGTACAGACATCAGAGTGGTGATTGCAAGAGTGTTCTTATCGCTCAGCATAATGAATACGCCAATTCGATACACAGACATGAACTAGTAATAACTGAATGAGGGGACATGGACGCAATATGGATATAATTATATTGTTTTGATCGTCCTCACAGTAAAACAGGCTTATTGAATACAGTTTTATACAAATTTCAGAGCTTTTGTCGAAAATAATATTGATATAGGTACAATACATTATAAATCAGCATCATAGAAGATCTATAATTTACATACTTCTTCTGTTTCTGTTGGAAATCCACAAATAATATCAGTTGCAATTGAAATTCCCGGAACCTTACTTTGTAAGAAGTCAACGACATTACTGAAAGAAAAATTGAATGAGCAACATATCAAACATACAATTCAGGCGTGGGCAAATTACAGCCCACGAGTCGGATCGGGATCCGGCTTTTATTTGGCCCACTTGTGCCTGCAGAAATTACAATTATAGTTTTTATTGATATGAACTTTCATTGAAAATTGTTGGCTAAAAAATTAAGCTGTCCAATTGGCTTTTCTCTTCTTTTGGGATACATATAGAAACCCTATCCTACCAAAAATCTTCTTGTGTGTATTCTCTTCTCATTTCATATAATGTTCTGTTTGATCCAGCTTGTACTGGTACATGCATAAAAGCATATACTCTTGGATGGTTCAAAATTTTTGCCATTTTCTAAATTGAGAATAGTGAAGTGAATAGAAATAGGGATAGTGAAGTACATCTACTCTGAAACAGAATTCAGAAAAAAAGCAATCAAAAACAATACATAACACACTGATTCCTAACCTCAAGGTGTTCTAATATATAAGGTGGATTTGTCATTCCAACCCTCAACATGCAGCCTTCCGGTATCACTTTGACTAATTCCCACAATAACTGAGGAAGTGAAACACCAATATCTCTTCCATATGCTCCAGTGTCTTCACTTGTTAACCATATTTCAACAACACCCTCTGTAAATGCAAAAATAAAGGGAATCTTGACAACGACTTTATACATTTTTCACTTCAAAATTACTAAAGTTTAGAACAGCAGTAATCTTTCCGCTCCGTATTGCCTACTCATTATCGCTGGATGAAGCGGCGGACATGGGATTTGAACCACAGATTTTAACCTGCACAGCCTTGATATAACAAATCATTCAATACTATTCTTCAAGATAGCACAATCAAGAAAACTACAAGACGGAAGAGAACCCATCCAAAAGTTATTGGGTAAAATACTGTATCTTAAAAACACTGAACACACCTTTAAATGATTGCTCTGCTCTCTGTGTTATTTCTTCAATTGAATAACTTCCCAGTTCACCACGAGCATGCTTTGTTTTGCAATATGTACATGCATTCAAGCACCTAGACAGAGAGAATTGATATATACATATACAAGTGCAGTGAATTATGTATCTTCAAACTATTTTCCCCCTCTATCCTCTCCCAGATATAAATATAAAAACACTACAAACCCTGTATTAACGCTTATAATTTCAATCAGTGGGTTCCTTCGTATCTTCGGTAAATCCAGTCGAGCACCCCCAGTTTTTCTTCCATTTTCTTTCTTTTGACCAAACAAACGTACAGTGTTCCCTTTTAGAGTTTCCTCGACAACTTCTACCACACGGTCAATTTGTTGTACTCCGATCAACGATAACCCTTTCGTGTATTCTTGTCTGGGGGCAGCTTGAGGAACACATCCGGCCACTACTACTGGTATAGTAAGGTCCTGAGCTTTCCTATAATTTTCAATGCATATGTATATAATACACAAATAAATTTTACATCACATCGCAGCAGGGAAGCCAAAGTAGCTCATGTAAAATATTTTGGTTTGAAAATGGACTTTTTTTATCTTCTGTCTTTATGGACAATTAGAAATCTTTTGGTCTTGATATTTGAAAATGTACCTATTTTAGTTTTGATTCTAGCTAGTACCTTAAATGTCCATTTTACTGGTTTGGCTATAAATGAAAAATGTGTTTTCTCAAGACCTTAGAATGTGATATAACCTTAATCCTGCTGCAATGATCTTTAGGTCAACTATTTAGAACTTATATACATCTTCAAGAAGTAACCATGATAGGCAAAACGTCAGAAGAAAATATTTAGTCTTTTAGATCACTTTTTATACAGCATCGTAATCCAGACCTAACTATTTTGAGCATAGTTTTGGCTGCAGTAACCCTCAAATATTAGTGTTCATTAAGTGCAATATATATTATAGGTGCATACTCTGTTCTGACAACAGGGTTTCGAGACAAATTTGAGTATGGTAAATATACGAAGACCAGATCAGCTCATATTAAACAAAGACTTCTTGTCAGGATTGAGATTTAATTATTAGATGAATTGAAGAAAATTTTGTCTTCAAAAAGGATACACTGTTTTAAAGCAGTAGTAAAAATTGTGTGTTTTAAAATATTGTTATTATTATTAATATTACTTGATCATATTTCTGAAATGATCTTCAGCTGGATTTTTCACTGTACAACTATTTAGAAGCCATAAATCAGAATTCTGACAATCATCTGAAAATATTAGGTTATATTCATAAATTCAAAATAGAACTAGCATTCGAAGATGCTTATAAAAATATCCGTGAATTACATCCATTCATTTAATAACAAAACTACAGATATAATAGACAAAAACATCAAAAAAATAATTTGTAACAAGTGATTAAGAGATTCCTTAATCAGGGAAACAATTATTTTAAAAAGTAGAGAGCAATATACAAATGGACACGAAGGTTGCGTATTGGTACCGTACCTCAAGACCTGATAAGCAGAAGAATCTAATTTATGAAAAAAATTGGTGGACAAGTGTGGCGGAGGTGGTCAGCACAAGTGAATAAAAAGTGCAAAATTTTAGGCGTAACATGGGGTTCCATGGAACTCAGAGGAAATTGGAAACAATAAATATAATATTCTTCTAGCGACTTCTTTTTATCTTCAAGTAGCCTACTGAAGATTTTAAATTGATTTGTTCATTATTTTCCCAGAATTTTTTTTTTTTTACAAAAACAATCAACCAGCAACAACAACAATGATTTAATAAAACGATACATAGGTCCACTTTTGTGTCTAATAAGCGAACAAATTGGATACACAAATAAACTTCTTAATCTTATGCATCAAAATTGTTCTTAAAACAAGATATAGGCCTACTCTTGTCCAAGTTGTGAACTGCGAACAAACTTTATTTAAAACAGTTTTCAAGTTTTCAATTCTACTTGATACCTGATATTTGATATCCGAATGCTGCAAGTTGTCCAGCCATGTATTCAGAGTCTGAAGAATTATGAGAACAACCCCATGTTTGCATGTAAATTCTCTGGGTGCCAGGAATGATGCTGCAAACAGTATATTTCTAATTTTTGATACGACATATTTATTATTTTCTGTGAACAAGGCTCTGCACAAGAAGCCTGTGTGAGAAACTAATATAATTTTGAAAAACCGAAATGTTTTAAATTTGTCATTCTCTACCCAACTTATAGCATGCTGGTGAGGTAGTGGGCATCAGGATTCATATACACTAAGACAGGGGTGTGCAACATTTTTCGTTGGTGGGCCATAATATAATCTACTTCAGACATCTAGCCGAGCCGCACATAAAATTTATTTTTTCCATGCGGAAAAGGCAGGAGAAGAAAAGGCACCTATTGCTCAGCCTTGTGCCAATAAACGCACTTTGGCAAAAAGGAGAAAGATTTAATGCAGCGACAAGAGCAATAAACATTTCACGTTCATGTATTTTCACCCGTATTACTGTCAATGTTCTGTTTGTAACAGAACCAGCTGAAAAATACGGGTTTCATGAAAGAAGCGGCTGACAAAAAATTTGAATCCCACAACTGGTTGTGGCCCACTTGTTGCACACCCATGCGCTAAGAAGTATATTTATATAGTCAACAAAAATATGTTCATACTCCGTTATACAGTCTTATAAAGTGCAGCGAAAAATATAAGTCTATTTATTTCTTCGGTTTGTGACAGATACAACAGTACAATGTGAATATAAAAGATTCCCAGAATTTTATTTTTAGTGAATATCGCTGTAATAATGTTGTATCTATTATTTGAATGAATGTTAAACACTATTTTATATTTCAATTTTTAATTACAGCATTTATTAATGTTATTTACACTCTAATAAATAATAATATTATAAGGTAGTGGCTTAAATCTGAACCAAAACAGAGCAATCATTTCACATTTTAATTTGGTCCCTAGGGCCCTATGGAATGCTATTTCCGCATTGTGGAATTGAAGCAATTCGAATAAATTTTCAACTAACCTTCCATTTAAATTTTCAATCCTTTCAGCATTTGATTTTTCAATTTTCAGTCGATGATTTGTAATTTTAGGAACAATCTTGGATTTATTAGCGTACAGGCGGCTGGTATCTGGGGAAACATCTTCTATGTCCTCAAGTACATTATTGTCGCTGCAAATCACCATTGTACACTTTTGTAAACATTAGTTTATCGGTAAAGAAGAAGTCCGATGTCTGACACCACGGAAAGAAAAACCACGCTGCTACAACTAACACGGCAAATGGAAAACACAAATAATAACCCGTCCCGTCTCCTCGTTAGATGTTACCGTAGATTCGCCATCGTTCACAGGATAATTTTGGTCACTTTTGACGTCAGCGAACGAAAATTAGTCGGCCGATTGGCTTTTGTTAGTGAATGCAGAACGGCAGAGTTCATCTCGTATGTTAGTCGTTGGTTCATCTATACTAGTTATAGCCAATCTGGTAATTTTTTGTTATCACCGAAAGTAAGGAATTTTTCTGTTTTTTGTGTGCTTTTGTCAGAGATATCAAAATAAACTATGTCAATAAGTGAATTAAATTTGAATATACATTGCCTATTAAATTAAGGAGGAATCGTTTTTTTTATATATATCAGAATACAGGAATATAGTGTAATCAAAATGGACATTTTCTTTTACATTTTCACATAGAACTTTTTATTACAGTATTATGATGTAGGAACTTATAGGTCTGTAGATAGCAGATTCAATTTACCGCTCATGGCTCAAATAGTAATTATGTTGCCTTTTCATGGAAATATTTTGCAATACTCCGACTCATGTGCGGAGAAGGTTGTTTTGCAAGCCTTCAGTGACATGAGGCGAGAAGATGCCATTTCAGTATGGTGTGAAGATATAACAAAAGCAGCTATTCGTCTCGCTGGAACTTATGACAATTTCACTCAAAAGTTTTTCGGTTATGTGCTTTGTGAAGCGTTAGAGAAATACACAGAACACCATGCGTTGGTTCATCACTTATTGCCGTGGGCTGATAAATTTTCAAAACATCTTATATCCAGTTCTCTTGAGACATTTAAAGAATGTACCAATTTAACTGAAGAAATATTTGCTTCATCAAGAGTCGAACTTCGTAAAATTGCGAAACAACAAAAGTTTGAGGAATGGGCTAATAATGAAGCAAGTGCAATCATTAATTGTGGAATAAGTAAATTTGAAAAAGAAAACTGTGACAATGGGAAAAACAAGTTTTCTCCTCAACTCTGTATCAGGTCAGTTAATGTTTCGAGTATTACTGTTGAATGAGCTGGCTGTTCGTCACATCGTGTCAATCATTATGAACATACTTGCCATCAAAGTTCTTATACCTTTATATGAGTTTCAATCGGTCGGGGGTTAATTTTCAAATGATAATTATGTTTTAGAGGATTGTCGGACTCCTCAATGTCACAGGACAGGGGTGTGCAACAGGTGGCTTGAGGGCCACAACCTGACTTGCCAAGCCATTTAGTGTGGCTCTTGTCAACACTCAGATTTTTCCCATCAAACATTAAAATTTTTTGTGTGGCTCGGCTAGATGTCTAAAGATGGTTATATGGCCACCGACGAAAATGTTGCACAATCCTGTCATAGGGTTTTAACATAACCGCTGGCTGATTATGGTTTCCTCCACTTCCAAGTCCATTTATCTGAAAACGAGTAGGCTAACTGAATAACTATTTCTTCACTGGTGCTTGTGTAACAGGCTGTGGTTGTTTTGTATTTGATTAACTTGAATAATCACAATTTAAATTGAATTTTGAAAATATATTTTCACACCCTATTATTGGTTACTATTCTGCATAAAATGTTAATTTCTGCATCATTTCTTTGCAATATACAATCAGAATCAACTGAATAGATACTACTATAATTTGACTCATTTTGAGAAAAAATAGACTTTGTTCTGGAATTTTTCTTTAAAATCGTGATTTAAAAAAAAAATAATATTATATATTATTCAGAATTCATAGGAGCAGCATTGATGATTCACACGATTCATATGCGCAAAATTTTGTCGAAGATATCTTTTCTAAATTGAAGATTGGAGATTCCCGTCAGCAGCATTATCATCGTCGGCCAAGACCGCTGTCAAATTCTTCGCAATCAGATAAATCTCCTCACTGTGGAAGCTGTGAATCAATTTCAAGGTTTGAATTTATAGTCATATGAATTATTTATACGCTTTTTGCTCCACACAAGCAGGCACTGAGTGTAATGAGCTACCTGGACTCTGAATTTTCCCGATTCGGCATTGCCTATCCAATCTATTACAACCTGGGTGATGTGGTGGGCATTGGACTCGAATTTGAGATTTCAAACTTATTATCAATTAAATCTTAATATTCAGATCATTTGACAATGTTTTTGAGTATACTGATCACTGGATTAGTTGTGCCACAAGCTGTTAGATGTTATACAGTAGTGTAAAATTTTCACAAAATTATTTGTTCAAATGACTTTTTGTGATAAAATATGATTCATTTTTGGGTGAAAGGTATCTGTTTATACTATTTGGAAACAAAATAAATACCAGAGATGGGATTTTTAATAAATACCAAACCAGTGGTTCTCAATCTTTTTTCTCTTGTGGCCCATTTTAGTTGCACAAAAATTCTGCGCCAATCAACTTTCTCATGAAAGGAGAAAACTACAAGGAAAACAAAAAATTCTTTCCAAAAAATGAACTTTTCCACTTTTATAGTTGAAATGAAAATTACCACTCAGTAGCAAAAAAAGGTTTATGGCCCCATCTTAAAATGTTACTGTGGTCCAGCAGTGGGCAATGGCCCACTTGTTGAGAACCAGTATACTAAACTATTCAGATATTGGCCTTCTCATTGAAATTGTTGAATAGCTGCTATTGGTTTTTACCTGAAGTGTCGAATTGTTTCACATTCTGTCAAGAATATGTTTTTCTAAAGATGTAGGAAATAAATATTTTAATATTTTAAAAATGTTTCACTTGTTGATTCAAAATATATCAGTATGGATATAATAATTTGAGATTTAGTTACTTTCTCAAGGACATGCATTGTTTAATATTCCAATACCCAAGTTGGACTGGTATCTGGACGAGACCAGGGTTCGCCATCTGATTAATTAGGCTGTCTTATCATCTTGTGTATCTCCTGGGATAAATATAAAAATCCTGTTCGAATATGTGGCAATTTGTAATATTATAACTCTGTCCCGTTTTAATATTAATGTATAATTGTATATAATTCTACCCTCTATCTTTACTTACATATAAATGTCACATTGATTAAACGTTGTTGCAATCATATAATACTGTTTAAATATTTATGGATATGTTTTGATGGGCGTACACTCGTATTTATATGACAAAACATGTTTGTTTAATTGTAATCTGTCAATTTTTTGACAAATTCTTCCGATTACTGGCGGCAAACTTCTAATAATGTCTTGTATGTCTATCGTAAACTACAATAAATCGTTTAGTTTGGTGTTTACATTATTAATTTAATAACAGTAATTAAATACATTTATTAACTGAATGACGCAAATTAGGCTGGTTTCTTGTGATAAGGCGTAATTATTATAATTTCCTTTTTCATGTGTTCGTCCATGATTCATTCATGGTTTATTTAACAATGCCAGATCTTGCGTGGGTCACATATAATCATATTTTAACCTTGAGAATGTCCTACGTCAGCAAACTGTATAATATATAATCACAGTGTTCACAGCTGCCAAGTGTAAAAAAAAACTATAAAACCAATTACCATTTTATTGTTAATGAATATGATTTTAGCTCTCCATCTCCATGGAGAATCACTTTAAAACACAGTTTTATAGCTATGTGCTACATACAAAACTAGCAAACTTGGGTGTTATCAAGTAGTTAATATTTATTATTCGACAATGACTAATAATATTGCTACGCAATTTGATTATTGACTGTTGTCATGTATTTATATCTTAGTTTCAACATAATACAGACAAGACATATCATGTCTTTGAACTTTGGAATAATATTCTTTACTAGCGAACATGTGGTAACTATTACGTCAATGGCTCTTTCTTAGAGGGAGCCTGTATATTTTTTCAAATAGTCAATTATTTGAGGATAACTCAACAATGATTGAAATAAGAAAAAGATTTTATTCTACATTTGTTTTTAAATTAGTTAAAATATTAATTTTATTGACAAAGGACATAGCATTCAACTTTATATATGAAAACAGTGTATTTCACTGATAAATGGGAGACTATTTTCTCCGAACAATGCTCTGTACAAGAAGCCAGTGATACATACAGGCCAGAGCTAATATTTTTTGAAAGATCATTTCCCTCTCAACAAGTCTGTGCACAAAAAGCAACTTATACATACGGGGATGCTATTTTTAAAAGGATCTGTCATCATAATTAAGTCTAACAGGTTAACATTCAGCCTACCAGCAATTACCATACTTGTCTGAGTGGATCAGTGACAGGTAATAGACTTGATTACTAGACAGGCGAATCAAAACTCTATATGAAAAACTATGAATGAAAACAGTTTATTTACAAAAGTTAGTCCAACAGCTCAGGTTCATTATGACGTGATTTTTATCGATATTTTCAACCGAAATTTATATTCATAAAAACTGTAGTCGTAATTTCAGCAGACACAAAAGGGCCGGATGAAACACTTAGGTGGGCCGGATCCAGTTTGCGGGCCGTAATTTGCATATCCCTGATCTAGTCTGTTAAATTCTATCATGTTACTATTTTATATTTCCAGTGACTTAATGAGTCCTCAATCCACTGCTGAATCAAGAGGACTTCATCATTTTGCTGATAAATTATTATATTCGTTATCTGCATTAGAAAAAGGATCTAGTGAATCAATCAGTAGTACAGGTAAATATTTTGCAAATGTTTTTTTGTCTGATGCATTCTTATGATATTTTTAACTTGTGTCTTTGTTTCACCAAATTTTCATTCGAAAAATGCAGCTATGAACTACCATATATCCTTGCATTTAAGCCGAGTTTAAATCTTGAAAAAAAGTTGCCAAACTGAGGGGTCGGCTTATACGTGCATAACTCTGATCACACTAAAAACTCGACTCATACGCGCATAAATCTGATATCACTCGAACGAAATGACAATATACTAATTTAATTCTAAATGCTGCAACTCAGAATGCTAAGTCCTCACGATAAGAGCGTACGATTTGTAGTGTCGGCTTATATGTGGATTTTTATTTATTCACCATTGGGTCGTTTTCAGGGGGTCGGCTTCGGCTTATATGCGATATCTCATAAATTCACAATTCAAGGTCGTTTTTAGGGGGTTGGCTTATATGCGATGACATACGGTAATAACTTAGTTTTGAGTAATTTAAGGTGAGTTTTTCTCACAACAGAGAGAGAGAGAGAGCTATTGGTTTCTCCTGTAGCATGTGATGAGCTAGTAAATGTGAATCTACTCATTATTATTAATAACTTCAACGAGTTTAATAATAATCATTTCTGAGTAAGTGCGAGTGACTCATAAAAGAGTTTGTTAACAGCTAGTAAGTAAATCTACTCTGTTTTCAACTGCTTTTGTGGATATATTTCAGAAACAACAGACACAAAATCATCAATAGTAGACTGTTATAGAAGATCAAGTGCTCCTGAATTAAGAGTGTCATCAAGGTAAAAATTAGACCAGTATTATATGAAATTTTCATCAATTTATTATTCTTTTCTTAACCCTTTTTAGTTGATAGACAAATATACTGGGTAGCCCTGTCAACCTCAGTCATGGTGTGGCAATAATATGTTTATTTTAGGTTTATGTGTTGTGGCAAAAGTATTTCTGCACTAAAATGAAATCATTATAAACACTCAACCATGATCCATGCTTGATTATACAGACCAGTGTTCACTATTAGCGCACTTTTTTGCGAAAATTGCGAAGCACTTTCGCAACTTTTTTTAGGGACTGCGAAATAGCACTTTTTTCCGATTTTGAAGAGAAATAGCACTTTTTTTCGATTTTGAATGGAATAAAAATTCAAAGTTGACAAATGTTTTTGTGTGCGTATCAAGTTGACAATTAAGTAACATACTAGTACTTTTGTAACTCAATTCTGCATATCATAACGATATTTACCGGAATTCTAACCTATGTGGTGAAGACATGGAAGATAAAGTTTTTGCATTAATGGCAAAATTCTTGTTTATAATATGATTATTATACAAGCACACCGATTCCGCTTCGACCGCAAAAACGCTCGGCGGCATCTTTGAAACCAGATGTCCGAATGCAAGGCAGTGCGTTTCTCTAAACGAGAGTGGTCATGTGACTGTCTATGACATCGATGAATTGTGACCAAAGTACACGATTTTCTAGTACTGGTTTGACAGGTCTGTGTTCTCTTCTTAGTGAATTTACTGGAGCCATTCAGAAATTTCTGATACTCGACCCGACATTGTTTAGTAATGGAATGTAAACTTGGGCCATTGTTTGTTAAATTAGAAGAAACTTTTAGCAGCATCTCACAGATTTGCAAAATCGCCAAATTGACAAAATACATACGTCGTATTAACATTTAACATCCATTTTATTGTAACCACGAATGTTAAAAGCAAATGGCGTTTCGCGGAATTTTGCGATATTCAGTATTAGCTAGTCTAGTCATTCACGATAAATCAAACTCAGACCAGGGTCAAAAATCAATCTAAACTATTTCCTCATTAATATGCGAGTAGGGGTGGGCAAAATCGAATATTTTTTCGAATTGAATATTTTTAACGAATGAGGAACATTTTTTATGCACAGCAGGAGTCTGGAACGTCGGTCGAAAAATTAGCAAGGAAGCCTTTTCTACTGGTTAATTTCGTTATAATAGCTAATTGTTTTTGTCACCGCAATAGTTTTGGCGACTATATCCTGGGTTTGGCAATCCAGGCTTACGCGTGCGTTCACATCGGCAACAGCTGTTAAGGGCATCAACGACAAATTTCAAAACCAAAATAAACATTTGCGTTGACTTGATATTACCTATCAACGTTTGTAAATTTACTGTCCCAATTTTAAGCGAATGGTATTATTATTATCGATGCCGGAATGCAAATATTTAATACGATAATTAACTTTTATAATTTTTTCATGGTGTCTGTATTAATTTACAGATAAACCTCGCAAATCTGAGATTGTGCCAATCCTGAATGTTGATTTAAAATTGTGATTAAATAATTCGGCAATAAAGGCATTTCTGCGTGGCCATAAGACGAGATGACTTTAATAAACAGCACTTCTTTAAGGATATTTTACATATGCGACTAATGCTAAAAACATTGGGCTCGGGTGCTCTGGTGCCTAATCAGGCGCTAATTGCAACTAATTCAACTCAAGTTTCAACGACTTCTTTCGTCTTCACGATATGTTATCTTTTTTTATTCGGTATTGATAATGATAAATAAAAAATGTGTAATTGTTGATTGCAATTCCGGAAAACGAACGAATTTAACCGCGGTTAACCGCGCATTGGAAAGCAAAACACAATTTATTAACATTACTTTACAATGAGTTACGGGTAAGAATTAACCAGACGGCTATCGCTAACATGTAGAAACAATAATCAAATTTCGTTGTGAATGCGCTCATTAATAGTTGTCTTTAAAATCTTCGCCGATGTGAATTCACAATTCTATCCGAAATATAAAAACCAAACTACGATGTCCGCCGTTACGTGAGAATTAATATTTGCTAGTGAATAAAAACATGCTTTAATATAGTTTAACAACACGATCGCAGCGACAAAAAATTTACTGCAGCCTTCGATTATGACAAAATTATAAAATAATCATTGAATGACAATAAAAATTTAACTTCATTAACAATAATTTTCAAGTAATAGTTTCACATTTTCATGATTTTGATCGTCGCTACATGCGAGCGTGTTTTTGTACATATAAACCATGATGACACTACTGACATCTGCGAGTTATAGATCTCTCCAAATTTAATTTTCGCGATTTTTAATGTTTCATTTCTAGATGCGGATGCCCGCTGACTACGGATAAATGGTCGATGTTTAAAAATAGGACTTCGGACCGTTGGGCAAAGAAAGGCGGGCTACACGTAACTGCGAAATTTCGCCGTGAACGACCTTACACTTTAGTTATAAACGCATTACGTCGTCGCGAATTGCAGTTTTGGTGTAATGTTTTAACTTCCCCCTAATCTCCCGTTAAAAAAAATTCTGGCTGCGCCCCTGCCCGGTGATAATTCTAGCTAAAATGTTACAATTTTATTTACGGAATTTGCAAATTCACCATTTTGATAATCACGCCCTAATTATTGGTGCAAAAATACTCAAAATATCACGAATTTAATCATTTCCGATGTTCCTAGGCGCAATTCATGACGGCGACAGTGTGCGTTGTTACATCGAAATTCACGATTGATTTTACGTTATACTCTTGTTCACGATTTCAACACTCCACCCGCCATGCATGGCTGAGTGAGAGGTTCACATTTTCGAAACATTACTTGGCCAAGGATGGGAGGGATCACTAACGAGCTAATTGAAAGCACATTAAAAGGATTATGAATTGTCATTTTTTTCTGGTTATAGCCTGTACATGTTATACCATGTGTGGGCTCTCGGAACGTCAATTTAACTTTTAATTTTCGACAATCAATTGTATGTGCGGCTCCTACATGAAACGGCTAATTCATGCTGCCAGTATACGGAGTTTGAAATCTGGGATATTTATTTCGAATAGTCTATTTATTTTGACTCTTCTAAAATTAGGAAGCTTTGTTGGTGCCTTTTTTGGCGCAAAGTATGAAATTGAAACGATACGAATATTTTGCCCAGTCCTATAGGCGAGGTTATGATATTAAGGCAGAGAATATTTGTAAGCATATCACTGAATGGAAATATTTTGCACCAAGACTGTTTGCAGAAGTTGATTTATCGAATACACGGAAAGTATTTATTTATCATCTCACTTGCGAACATCGGGGTTTGGGCGGAATTATATGATTATGTTGTTGTTCTTGAATAATAACTTTTTCGATGAATGTTTATTTTACTTTTGTGTATTGATTATGATATGTTGAGTTTTCGTTTATTTCAAATTCGAAATTGTCCGGAATACTCAAACAGGTGTAATAAGTGTTGATAGTATAGTGTAATCGAGTAACCAACTTAGAAGTCTTCAGAGATGTCTAACGAACTTGATGTGTTACGGGTGTCGTAACCCCCGTTTTTTTTTTATTAAATTTGATTGTTCTACCTTCCGCTTATAAAACAACATCGTTATACGGTCATCTAAGCCTCTAAGGTAACTCTCGCCACCAAATCTTTCTGTTCTGTATGGCATCACCTTAGCGCCATTTATTACCGACTGAATTTTAATTGTGATTTATGATAAGTTATTTTCTGTTAGTTGGCGCTGATAACGTGGCTAATTTCTTTATAACCATTTTTAATATGTTTAATTTTAAAATTTAAAATTTTTTTTAAATATGTTCCTTACGTCTCTGCTATAATTGACAAGCGATAGCACAAGATTCAGCAACAAATGATAAGCAAAGCTATTTTATAATCATGGGTTGCTTAATAAAGATTTGCTAATTATGGCAGGATATAAAGAACATGGCCTGAAATATATAATTAACAGAACGATGTTTATTTTTCAGTCGACGAAAACCCTTAATAATAACGATTGCCGAAATCGCGAAAAAAATGAATACGGATTTTCGATTGTGATCAGATGACTGAGAGGGCACATGTTTTTTTCTCTGTTCAAAGCAGATATAAAACGAATACCATGTTGCCGAAAAGCGGTTACGTGTTATCTTTCTTTAGCCAATCAAAATAGTGGTAATGGTATATACAAGAGGTTTCTAAACTTTACAAACTCGGAACACAATTAATATTAAAATTACAAGTAATGGTGCATGGAAAAACGAATTTGATTTTATTGAAATTGAAACGCACACACATAAGAGTTTTACATTTCATGCACAACTAACCGATGCTACATGTGAGATTTGTGCACATGAACGATTATATATCGCGATTATTTATGTGAGAATGCGTACTTCTCTTTCAACTTTAATTTCCAGGATTTCGGCGTTCACGTGGTCGACTAAAAAAGATTTATCAAATGGATTGGTATTTCGTGTCACACTCAAAATTATTTGGGAACCACTATCATGTCATTCGTTTATTTTTTACATTCATGTTTTTTTCAAGAATCACCCTGTTGTATTTCCTGTACCTTCGCAAAGGAAAACTCTTTGGTGTCATCATTACTATTAGTGAAATTGAAAGTGGCGTTGAGATGCGAATATTTCATACTAGGTCTGCAGCATTAGAGACAGCGTTATTTATAAATGCTGGAAGTACATGGCATTTCTAAAAAAAATTGCAAATATATGATGTTTTCTACCCGATTTGAACTAACTGGCACGCAAACCAATGCAAGTCGATATTTGGAAATTACACGTCTTAGCGTAATCCGTGAGACAGTATAATATAAATTAGGCCAAGCTAGCTCATGAAAGGGATTTCAAAGTGATCTTGCATAATATTTCGGAAAAAAAATCTTCGATAGAAAGTAGGTCACTCTATCTATAAAAACAGCGGTACTTTCATGGTGATCTTGCGTTATTTCCCAAAGAAAAACTGGCCGGAGAAACATGACGTTAACCAATCTCTTTAAAGGGAAGAGGGCGGACTACTTTCAAGCATATTCTTTCGGACGAGGAAGCGTGTTATACTAAAGCGATATTGGTGATGGGGATGTCATTTTGCCCGGGTTTTGTACAAATGATCCCCCTCCCTAGCTATGGCCGGTAGTAACTAATATCTGCATGTATCAATCGGTGTCTGTTAGATGGAAGAAACAAGTTTGCAAGGCTTGTCTGTTCAGGCGGGAGTGCGCTTCGTTACTGACGCTGGTGGTTGATTGCAGGAAACTTTTATTCCCGACAAGTGTGCTTATCAGGTGTCCTTTGATGAATTCGCTTGTTTTTAACAAGAGTTTAAACGAAACTCGTTAACGGAAAGACTTCAGTTCACAATATTAAGGGAAGGAGCGCTTTTTCGAGTATCTATGCTGTTTGAAATGAGTTTAAACGAAAGCTAGGGCACCTAACTAGTTAAAATCAGAAAAAGCACTTTCGCACTTTTTTTTTCGACTGCGAAGCACTTTCGCACTCATAATTTCCTTAGAGTTAACACTGATACAGACCCTTGTTCGAAGCAAAAGGCCTATAAGTGATTTGTATAAAAATATTCTAAATTTTTATGGTGTTGTAACAAATTCAATATTCCAAGTTTCCAACTGGTAATATCACTTCGAATAAGAATTACAATAACTTATCGCCTGCTACATTATATTGGAAGAACCAGAATCTTTCTGGTCCCGCATTGCCCATCCAATTCATTACACCCTGGATGAGGTGGTGGGCATGGGATTTGAACCTTATATTTTAATGTGCGATCACAGTTAAATCTAATGCTTTGACCTACCACAAGGTAGGTCACTGGGCCCAACTTTCTTTCTGTTCTTGATAGATGCTTTTATTTGCAGAAAATCGAGCTTAAAGACAGTGTTTGAAGAAATGCCACCATTACGATTACCGAGTTCATCAGCCAATCAAAAATTTGCTGGATTGAATCAAAATTTGTTAGGACGGCGTTTACGCAGTTCAGATGATCGCAGATGCGCTTCTATGGAAAGTATAGAAGATATTTCGAAACAGGTTTCATATAGTGAATCACTTGCCAAAAATATTTTGTCTAGTGTTTACATGGATATATTGTGAAATCATATTATTTACGTAATCTATTTTTGTCTGTGTTATACTACATATAATTGTGAGTTCCTTTGCTTCTATTTTATATTACTGTTCTGTTGAAATTTAGTTTTCCTGGCTTGAAAAAATATTAAACCTTTTTGTTTTTTAGTATCAGAATCTGCGCGTGAGCATGGGCCGATCATAACATAGACATAAATTTATCAATAATTGCAAATTGCCAGTTATGAAAGTGAAAGTAAAATGGAATTGAGCTAGTTAGTTGCATTGATTGTTTTATATAACTTTGCTGCACTGTTATTTAAGTTGGTGTGACTGCTGTTGACTTATGTATTGTTTGTCTTAATTTGGAATTGCGACAATTAGTTGTTAAATTATGGATGAATATTCAATATTCATAACAAAATAAATGTTAAATCTAGTTTGGTTACCTGTAGCTTGACCCATGTCATGGATGAGTCTCCTATAATTCGGAATGAGTGCGCTTGACTTTGCCTGTTCTTTTAAAATATGGTCGAGAATATATACCTTTCTGATGGTTTTCTTGAAACAAATAAAATGTTACTGTTTCTTGCTTGCCCTTAATCCTAGAATTATAGAAATTATTGCCGAGAGAATGTTTTCAGTGGTTTGCCTCAACTCGCCGTTCCAGGGTTTAAATTGGTTTTAACAACTCTCAAACCATTTTTCTAGTGTTTTTAACTTGCTTGCCCTATTGTGCTTGTAATTTTATTTTGTCATTTAGTTTGCCATTTTTCCAATTCAAGTTACTATTCATTTTCATACCATTTCATTAATACAAATTATTTAAGAGAAATTAGTATCTGTAAAATCTTAACTAATTATATAATATAATTATCACTGCAGTGTCAAATATAAATACTCGTTTTTGAGTGTGAATCAAGTTTACGTACTGTTTTATGTATATGTATATATAATTATGTGTATATTAATTTTTAAATTTGACGCTTTAAATAGTATAAATATAGAATGCAGTATTTAGTTACATAATGTATGATATATAGTCGGATTTATTATGCGTAATTGCCAATGAACATTCAGAGCCGTGTTCACTTATCACTTTTTCCAAAACTAAATTACTGAACACTGCTTGATAACAGTATTGGCTGTTGTCAACACCATTTCTTATAAAATTCTATAATATCATCAGTTGTGATAAATGATAATTTCAGTAGACTATATTCAGTAGACGGAATCAATTAGCTAGTCTGTTTGTAGCCCTCATCAACATAATATCGTTGTATTAGCTGTATGTAGTGCACACAGTATTGATTTTTGTTACGTATTACTATCATGTGCTTGTTTCGGAAGGATTTTGGAGAATGCAAATACTGTTTTCAGAATATCTAATCTTGGCAGCGTTCTATAAAATAATCGATTCCTAGCATCATAGAATTAATTCACAAATAACCTTCAAATGTTGTAAATTTTGTAATTTATTGCATCAGTATTGTTTTGAGATATGTTTGTTTGAATATGCTTCAAAAGTGTTATAAATTCTAGCAATTAATTTACAAATTTGATTTTAAAGATAATCAAGAAAATTTTTATTCCAAAAATTGATGTTTTCAACGATTGAAGTCTTGCAGTAATTCAATTTCTGAAACTATAGAAACAGGAACTAAATCTGGGATGGGAAACTACTGCCCTACATGTGTTCCACCATAGCATTTTGTGCCCCCCTTGAAAGTTCCTTTCATGGACGTTATTTTTGCTGTGTCATATAAATTTTTGTCAGTTGATGTTTTCACTTCGTAAAACATCTTACATATTAAATTTCAACTGATTTTAGCTATATGATATGGTCTTTTTCAATTCGTTTAACCTCATAACCACATTACCAAACTTTATCAAGGGTTATCCTATCTTATCTTACATCATGTGACTTAATTTATAGAAACTAATTTTTACATTCAAATAAATAAATCACACTGTGATCATATATTGAAAGAGGATTGTTCCATAAGAATATTTTTTGTATGACTTGTTTGGCCTGAACAAACTGAGTTTGTGAGAGTATTGAAAATTTGCTTCTATCGTTTTGTTGAGGTATATTATAATATTTTGACCAATTTGCTGTTTTATTGCTTTTTATATTCTTATTGCTGTTTGCATCTGGTCCTATCTCTTTTTGCCCCTACATGCTACAAGGCAAGAGGAGAAATACCCCTTCACTCCCTATGTTCATCAAAGCCATAAGAACCCCTTAATAGAAAAAAAGTTCATTATTTTTTGTCAGCAAAATACAAATGAATATTTAAATAATAATAAATCATACAGCACTTATTTTGGTATAGATTGGGAAATGGCGATACGACCAAAGGTCATCTAGCTGTTATTATGTCTATATGATCTCGAACATTATATGTATATGTAATTACACGCCGGTAAAATTTGTATCCTCGGAAAATTTTACAAAAAACATCATGTAACAGTACCTATAATGTAGCACTATTTTGCAAATGACTGATGTCTTGGTCAATGCCACATACTCTACAAAAATGCCAATGTCCTTACCATAGTACGTTTAATTAATCAAATATCCCTGGAAACTCTTTGTATTCTAGCTTCCCTAATTAAAAGTTTCAGTACATATTTATCTTGCCAAATTACACGATTTTTCATTCTGAAATTGTTAGCGCAACTAATTGAAAACAATTTTCTAATACCGTATTTTACAGACCATAAGGGCTCATTAAATCTTTTTTTCTCAAAAATCGATCGTGCGCTAATGTACTGATCATGTAGTGCTTTATGCTACACTCAAAATAAGGACTGGTAATATTGTTTTATGAATAAACCACCGTTTTCATTTTCTTTGAATTAAATACAATATCCATAAAAAATTGAGATTTTTTGTTAATTCAAGCTTTGTATGATAACCTGAAACTACTTAAATCTGCTTATAGCACGGTGTGGCCTTATGGTCGTAAAATACAGTACTGCTTTTCTTTATTTCATGTTTCATCATGGTATTGAAAAGTGAAGTTTTATTGTTTACTGATTATAAATGATCAACTGTGTTCACATTTATCAAAACTGTATCCTCATTTTTTTGAAAAAGTGAATTGTTATTAAACTTATTTCAGATTTAAATAATTCATCTAAGTTACACTATTGTAGTACTTTATTTTGTTCATAGCAAAGAATCACCCAGAAAATTTTTTTAGTATATGATCCATTCGAAATATATTTTGATATTGGAAGAAATTGTTTTCATATTTCTTTGAAATTATTATTTCGACCATTTTTGTAGTAAAATCAGGATGAAATTTGGCATATATCATCAAAATAAATCCATTCAGATAACGCTAAGACAGAATATTGAAATATCATATAAACCTAAATTATTCTGCAATCGTGCCACCTTTTTATAATTCATCATTATTGTGCTTCCATTGTATTGTGTAATATCCGGTAGAGATTTATACTAAATTATAACTGGTCAAATGTGGAACAAATATGGCCGAGGATAATTTAGCATGAAATTCTATGCCATTGATTTCATTGTTATGTGAATGTTTTGCCAAATAGCGTTATTATTTTCATGCCTCATGACATTATTACTATCTTTTTGTTATATTCATCTGCTTATTAAAATAAATTGGTGTCAATTGAGTTATTTTAGTAGCATGGTGAATGGTACAATTATGCCAGTGTGTTTAAAGGTTATGTATTTCTTCAGCCAATTATCCATATGATTGACAGTTAATTTGAATATTGATTTCCAACTCTGTCATGACGTAATTATATATGGAATTGATTAGCTGTATTTGTACAACAAACAAAAATCAATAACGCATCTGTTTCCAATGCCTTCTGTGTAATATCTTAACTATACTAATACTGCTCACAATTTTCAGTCTCCTGTCTTTCAAAAGAAAGCACGCCTAGCTAAGTGGACTTGCGTTTAATGTTTAACTATGATGGTAGTATTGCAGGTCTAAATCCCATGTCCACTATCTCACCCAGAATGTCGAACTGGGGAGAACCTGATCCTTGGCAGCGGCTGCCTTTTCAGATGGAATCATGCTCTACTGAGCCTTGACTGACTAAGAAAATCTTCTAAATGCTTGGTAATATTTGTGTAATCCATACAATAATAGTTGCATTTTGATGCATGAAATTATATCCAAAATTGATACTCCCTTTCAAAAACAGAGCTATAACTATAAATCTTTAATGTTTATGCATTTTTAATGATAATGAGAATCGAAACATTAATGTTTATGCATTTTTAATGATAATGAGAATCGAAACATACAAATTATGCAACCCTAGAGAACAGCATGTAAATGTTCATAATAATGATTATTTTTCTGAAAATAGAAGATCTGAAATAATTCAGAGCAATTTTATACTATGTGTTTTTAGAGCTTTCTTTATGAATATGGCTCTGACATGTATGAAGCTCTTTATTTTCACTTATTACACCGTGAGCATGGGATTCGAACCCGAGATTCATCATAGTTGAGTCCAAGCTTTAGTCACTGGTTGCAGTCGTTGGTTTTTTTTTGAAAGTTGAAATGCCTTAGAAACCTGGTCTATGGAGTTCAATGAAAATTTTTTAAACTAACAAGTTATATATTTATTACTTTATACATTATAAGTTATCGAAAAAGATGACAAAAGTTATCAGGATGTCTCTGAATGCAAGTAAGATGATGATTCTGGTAAAACTGCTGAAAATGAGGAAAAATAATCGCCAGCAAATTTTACGACATCATCTGGTTTTCGCAGCAAAACAAACTGGAAAAAGTCTGAAAGCAGAGCTTGTGCATCGGGATGTTCTCGAAGATATGTGAAATGACCGGCTTTTAAAGTTTCCTTTCGTTCCAGAAACATTGAGTGAAGCTCTTCATCTTCTTCCCAATTTAAAGGCTTCTTCGTAAAAATTGGCTTCTCTTCATGTTCCTCCTTTTCAATTTTTTGCGGCACAATTTCGATCATTGATACAGAAGGAGAGCCAACTTGGATTCTCATAGTAAGATGCCCATCATCCATATAAAATGATTGCCAAGTGCTTGGTAGATCTGATGCAGATTGTAGGTTCCGTTCTATGCCTTTTGCCGTGATTTCCTTTTTACCAACTTTCTGGGTTCTTTCTTGTAGAGCTTTATAAGTGCTCGGAAATATTTTACCCGAATCTGGGTCGATTGTGATAAAAACAAGATTTTCGTAATCTTGTAATTCTGATTTTGCTAGAAGTCTTTGAAGAAGCAAATTGCTTCCTTCCGTAACTAACCCTTCAATATCGTTGATGGGAAATTCATGCGATTCTGAGCGGGTTTGATTTCCTTGTGTTACTTGTCGTTCAACTTGAAAAGTATTTGTTTCATTATTTCTTTTCATCACTGTGTTTTTTTCTAATTCATGATTCGGAACCTTGACATATTCTTGATGATGTTGTTCGATTACTGTTAAGTCTGATCGAACATAAGCTGTAATTGTTGTTCCAGTCGGAGTATCGTCAACTTTTCCATGGCTGTTCACATGAATTAATAATACTACATCACCAGCATATGCGACTTTTTCTATGCTGATTGTTAGTTCTCCAAGAGTCTTGTTATCTTCGGAAACCGTGACTAGTTCATCTTTAAACAAACATGTTTCGATATCGTCTTTTTGAATGTTTTTGATGAATTCTAAAGCTTCAGAACTCGCTGTGGCGATGTCACCTACATTATCATCACCCTTGATTTCCATATTACTTCTATTTTTATTATTCTACAAAATGAATAGATAATATTCAAATAAGCATAGCATAGTTCATCTATGGCCCACAATACGATGGTTATGAGGCAATGCCAATAGGGCTTCGATGAATTTTGAAAAGAAAAATTAATTAGAAAATCAGTTTCTAGAAGAATTTCAATAAAAAGTTGCGCAAGTTTAAAAATGAGAAAATGTACTTTTTCTCAAAGCACCTTTGTCAAGTTTCAACCATTTGGGTTAAAAGTTCCAGAATTGGCATTGGACAATTTCAAGCAAGAATAGAGTTGAAAGATTTATCGAATCTGAATTTAAACAAGCAAATAATTATATAGTTGTATGCTAGTATGGGAATTGCTGGCATATGAAACTAACTTATCCATGCTGAAGCTAAAAAAAAATAAGTTAAAATATCAATACCACGAAAATGTAGCCACATTAGGATCAATATCAGCCAGAACGGTGGGTCCCTAAACGTGCGCTGAAATTGTAATTCACTAATGCACTGCAAGATAATTTCAATATTGTTAGGATAGGATAGGATTTACATATTTATCCCGGGGAGAGGAAAGCTGATAAGACGGCTTAATCATATGGCGAACCACAGTCTCTCGTCCGGTTACCAGTCCAGGTCGGGTATGGGATTAGTTAGCCAGTTATTTGTTTTTGGAAGCATGGACTTGATAGTGGAGGAAGCCGTAACAGACCAGCCGTTACGTGAACCACCCTACGGCGGCGAGGAGTCCAGCAATCCTCTTGCAACATGATCATCCCCGCATGGGATTCAAACCTGCGATCCCACAAAGGGTGATCAGAGATGCGATGGCGAGCGTATTCCTAACGCTTAGCACGATGCGCCACACCGCCCAGCCGAAATGCAAAATATCAATCCATTGTGGAGCAAAAACTGAAAAATTACCCCACCAATATTAATTAATACTATGTAAATTTTAACCAGTAATTAGTGAACACTGACTAATGGGATAATGGTTAACTAGTCCTAACTCTGTTACCCAATTGAGCTCGAATCCATGATAATCACAGAATCATGTCCACAACCAGACTACTGGGGAGAGTACACTGAGCTTTCAGCTGGTCAGAATGTCAACAAAACCATATCTAAATTCCTTGCTCTAAATGAAATGTTTCTAATATATTACAAATTTAGTATCTATCTTAACATATAGTATATTATGCGAACAATAGTAACAATATCTAAAATCAAAAAAGCAACAATTTGGTCACAGCAAAATCGATCACCGTGACGCCGTTTCCTAGCGACAGAGCTTGTTGTCTCTCGACCTTTAACCCAAGAAAAGTTAAACTAAAGCTTTTCCGAGAACATAATGACACTTGAATTATTTAATTTACGACTAATTTTTTGATAATTTACCAAAAAACTGACGAATAAGCAAAACCGAGCCAATGTTTACAACCATTCCTGAATATCCATCTGAGCAAAAAATACGTGTTTCTCCGAAAATAAAAATTAGCCTGAAAATAAGACTTACCCTAAGCCTAAATTTTGAAATGATTTAAATAATTTCAGGTACAAATACTACGGGAGTTACTCGACTAGTCCCCGAACTCATATTAGAACTAAAATACGGAAAATTGGAATAAAATTATGGCCTAACCTGAACTCGGTACACATACTACGTTCCGGTGTTCGCCATCTTGGTTCACATACTTCGGGAGTACCAGCAAATGGATATCAGTTTTCATATTTTGTATATTATAAATATCGTAATTCCGTGCTTTGTAATTTTGTTCTTGATAAATGAAAATAAAAATAAGGCATCTCCCTCCCCCAAATAAACCCTGTTAAATGTTATTATCGAGGAAACACGGTGAATGAGTTATCCATCGTTGACTTTTTTTCATTTATCATTGTAACAGAGAAGAAAGTCGATGCTCAAGGAAACATTCAACATCCATTCGCTATCTATATGTGAATCTCTTGATGTCCAGCACTATTAATTAATAGTCACTCAAAATTGATGTAGCAGTCTGATCATTTTACTCCAAGTATAAATTCTCAAGAATTGCCACAAATATTTAAGATCTTTACTTGTGTTATTTCATACGGACCTCAACGGTCTGAAATGATAAAAAAATTGTTTAAAAGTAGTTTAGAAAATTATTTACTTATCGAATAGTAAGAATATATCACTAGTTTCCCATTCTTGTAAAACCACCTTTTAAATTTTTATAACAAACTCAAAAGTGTGTGATTTTTTTACCGTACTCTTTCACCGTAATTTGATCATCATTTTGATTTATGAAAAACCTCTTTGTTCCCTTGACCTGAATAGGCTTATAAAAGTTGCATGAACTAGGTCCTACCGCAGTAATTTCAATGCCTGCCACTTGGTGGGTCTCTCGAGCCAAGTGCAATGTGTTTGTGATAGCATTAATAAACCGATATGTTTAAACTCCTGAATAAAATTAAAAATTGTCACATGTTAAATAAAACAATTCATCAAATTCAGTAAAAACTGTTGTTGTAGAAATACAAAGAATATAATATATAACAATTGACATCTCTTACTAATATGCGTTTAAATTGTATATAATTAGGTTTTTCGCGCACCAAGCGGCTTCAGAGATATGACTTGGGCTTGCTTTGTAACCATAAATCACAATATTGAGAAAAGGTTTGTAAACAGAAAAATAAGAGTAATAATTGGTTGCTACCATTGGAAGGTAACCGCAATTATAGTTCAGTTCCACATTTCAGCTTCAAATGTTGATTTCATAACTTTTTTTCATTCTGTTCTAACGCAAAAATTGCGAACGCTTACATTTCTGAAAATTTTTTTTTTTTAAATTTCAGCTTGAGATTAAATTAATGAAATTAAATCAACCTAGAATTTACCGCCTAAACAATGTTTCCTTAATGCAATTAAGTATCTGGGTAGGATTTTCGAGTGTTACATAGTGTCAACTGTACAAAGTGCTGAGTTATCGATCACTATGAAAAATCAAATTATATTTTAGTTGTAAATAAATGCCTATATTATTTTGGTTTATTTGGTAAGTTATTTTCTTCTTCTTGTTCGGACAGACAATTAGATATTGTTGTTTGAAACCTCTAGATTTATTGATATAATATTTAATTAATGCTACTTAACACAAAAAGTAGTATATTATCATTTACTCCCTCAGTCGAAGTACTTTAAACGTTTAAAGCATCAAATATATAACTTGCGCTAATTATTTGGTTTCTGCGAGACTAACTAATTGTTATCTAATCAAAAATTCGCCGATTTTATTGATTATTTAACATGCGTTACTCCCATAATTTTACACTGATGGTTCAAATATGCATGTAACTGCTTTTCTTACCAGAGTTGAGTTATGTATGTCTGAAGAAGTCTGACCTTGGTCAGACGAAACGTTACAGAAATATATTAGTGTTAGCGTGCAGCAAGACTCTTGAATCACTTAGAAATATATAACATGTTTAATTTTTGAACATAAGCAGTTTTATTTGTTGTCTGGGGATTGCAATTTACTCTTGCGTTCATATATATATCAGGTTACATTCTCAATTAAATGAGGCAAAAAAATAAATGCATTGTCTCACGAACTCTGCTTGAAGCTCACAGACAAAAACTGGTTTCTCCTAACAACCATACGATCAAGCATTGGGTGGTAAATGACTTTGAACCTATAACCTGACAGATTTTGGTATCTGTCAGAATTAGCTGGTGATATATCAATAGCTTTCTCTCGTAAATCAATATCATTGAGTGTACTAAAACAACTCAAGCATGGCCGGACTTTGGTGGAAATTTGCTAAATACACAAAACTCATAAAAGCAGGATGCACGAAAGATGCGGTTCATCGCATATGAATACCTTCAGTGTGGTATCGAATTTCTATTAATCTGGCAACTGTGGTTGGTTCAACTTTAAATGTCTTTCGTCCGCCAGTGCATTCCATCAATCACTCAAGATTTGTACGTCAACCGCTGCTCGTAAACGTCTTAACCTGTTTGAATAGACGTATATACAGACAAGGAACATCCATTATCTATAGAGCTTTTAGTAAATTAAATATAGATCTCTATAATACAATTATACAATCTACGTCAGACATATTCAGGGGTTTAGTCTTAAATAAACAACTCGAGAATCCGTGTTCAAACGATAATTCATCATGCTCCTCTTTTCGGTTACCGCTCTTGTTAGACAATAGCGGATATGTGGCTAATGACGTCAGCTGATGAAAAATAACTTGGGAGAAAGCTATATTCGATGTTATCAGCATATATGCGTTTCCTACTTATCAATCGGCACTTTTATTCGCATATTTTTCTCATTGTAAATTATCTATTTGTAAGGTATTACAAGAGTTGAATGATTTGTATAAAACGTGAGAACCACCAATTTAAAGGGATTTCATTCATAATATTATAATCAGGTCGGAATACAACAATATTGTTATATGTCACCAAAATATGTATTATCCAAATTAATAACATTTATTATTGCATCATACGGGGAAGGGTTCATCAACAATGTTCCCATATTTCGGTAAAATATTGTGTGGAATAACGAATTTCAAGAAAAAGAAAATCATTTTGATACCCGAAAACTATTATATATATATATACTACTTAAAAACAAAAGGATAATCATTACACTTATTGGAACCATTTCGCTCTGTGTAATATACAACGTTTCCTCTTTGGGTTCGAACTGAGTACTAGTTACTAGTACTGTCATAAGTACTAGTACTGAGAACTTTTTTATAGTGAACAAAGAAATTAAGATTTAAATATGATTCATATATATATAAATATAACACCAAAAATGTTCAGTCAAACAAGAACCAAAAGATATATACTATTTTCTTACAATCTAAACATAACCTATTACGTGAACTCAGGACAGGAAATATCAATGTACCGTGTTTCTCTGAAAATAAGACCTAGCCTCAATTTTAAGAAAGCATCTGAATATAAGCCCTTCCTCTAAAATGAGACCTAGTCAACAACGCAAAAATTTATTTTACCTAGTCGATAGCA